CCCAAAGACATAAGACTTGGGAAACACAACACATAACATCTCTTATATACCAATACGTGTTTTAAGGAGCGTGACAAATAATTTTCTAGAAAATACGTAACTAAGGAAACTTAATAATACATGAATTTCGTAATTCATAGAAATACAATGTCTAAGGCTTTTGGTAAAATTGTGTATCTGGTGATTGTTATGACAAATGAAAGCTGCTATATCAAATAAAGGCAATCAAACAAGAAAGTGGTATTTCGATGACATTAAACATGACATGTAAGAATATTTTGAAATAAAGCAACATTGGTTATTATTATAGTGTTTCAAAAACTTTGAGATCATGGAAGAAAATGAAAATCAAAAGAAAAAGTATTTAGCCCTTTGGTGTTGAAACTAGATAAAATTATTTTACACAAATCATAAAGAATCGTTTGGTTTTATTCATGCATTGTATTTATCGTAAATGGTATTCATGCAATCCGAAAGTTTCTATCAAAAATACAAATTGAGATACCACCTACCTCGTTAGTTCAGCAAAATATTCGGATTAGAAAAACACAAATAAATATTGTGAATTAAAAAGATTTTCTTAAATGAATTTTCTTATTAATCAAATATAAAAATCGGGAAAAAGAACTTTTATTTGTTAAGTTAGAAACGTGTTTAAAGTTTAGAAGTATCGTCTCGAAGGTAAATTATTAAAAATCAAGTAGAAGTCTTATTTTTAGTATACATCTATACATATATTGATTTGTATTTTTTATCATAAAATATTATCGAATATAGCAACACTGCATACCATCGTATGTCTTTCAACTACTATCTAGTACTACGTCTACTTATGTTTGATTCACAATATATTCTAAGAGGTAAGAATAGATGTACATTTTCAATAATGTGATTGATAATGTAAATGTTAAATTTGCTAAGAAATAAATAGTGCAACAAATGATACGAAATTAAAACGGAAAGTAGCAAAATAATGCACAACCCGAACAATCTTAAAGCCCAGAAAAGATACCCACTAAAACTCTTCTCCTTGAACCAACTCCTGGATAGTGATTAGTGATGGATTTAATGTAAAACCCAGTGAATCGAACCGAATCCAGATGTCTTGAAATTTACTGACTATTCGAATATTTTCAAGAGGAGTTTCCAAGTTTTGCTGACTTCTAAGTTAGGTTGCCTGGGTGTATTTTCAATAAACTGGAAGTAGAATGTTTCTTTTATCTTTCTTTTTCTAATGTGTGATTCATACCCTATTATTTCGATATTATTCCAATTTATTGTATGGCTTTCTTGTCTGACATGATGGGCTGTTGCTAATAGATCAGTGTTACTGTATCTTGTATGTCTATTATGCTAACGAATTATAACTTTTGTTGGTATTTTTCTTTCTCTAATGTATTGGTATCCATATTCATCGTATAAGTGTCGTTTAATTTAATTGTGTGATAATCATACAAATTTGTTTTTGTTTGTTTGATACAAACTAGACTTTGAAAAACTTTCACATGTTCTAGGTATTGGATACATATAATTTAAACCGGGTGATCGACAGGATTTATTTAAACTACTTAATAAAAAAAAGATAACTAAATGAACTGTTGAAAAGTTTTAACCATACCTGGCGCTAGCTACATTTAACTTAAAACTACGTGTTTAACAAATTTTATCTAAGTGTTGACAAGAGCTGTCAATACTAGGTGTTCGGCAAATATAATTTCTACAAGGTGTTTGATGAGTATCCTACAAACTAAGTTTCGATAAGTATCATCCAATCCATGTTTTCTAAACATATGTTGCAAATTAATTGTTTCGCAAGTTTCTTTGAAGTGACAGTACAAAGGTAATCCAAACTCTTCTTTGATAAGTCTGGCTGATATCTAATGTTTTATTACTGTAATTTCCTATGGGCGTTTAATAAGATTCATGGAAGTGCAGATCCAAATAGTTGTTGTCATTTAAACAGGATGTTTGATAAATTTTCCAAACTATGTGTTAATATTATGTTATTTATACTATGTACACACAATTTTCATACTTACAAGGTCTTTCAAAAATCATCATCCTAGTCAAGTATATGGTTAGTGTCACCCAAAGTAAATGTTGGAACCATTCATACAAACTAGATATTTGATAAGGATTTTATATAATTTACCCGAGTTAAGGCTGTGATAGGAGTCATTCAGCTAGTTTTTGTTAGGCACTTGCGAACTTTTATCTGAGCTGTGAGTGTGATAGATTTCATTCAAATCATTTATTGCATTTGAAAAAGTTTCATACAAATTAACTTTTGTTAAAGTTGTATAAGTATATGTTGTATAAGTTTTCTTCAAAAAAATGTTGTATTAGTATAATCGAAACGAGATTTAGAATAAGTTTTCTTCAAACAAGGTGTTGCGTTAGTATAACAGAAATTAGGTGTTGTTTAAGTTTTCTTAATAAGGTGTTGTATAATCGAAACTGAGTACTGAATAAGTTATATTCATTTAAGGTGTTTCGGTAGTTATATTTTTAAAGCTATTGTTTGGTTGTAATAACTTGTGTTTAAATAAATATATGATTATATTATATTTACAATGGAGATTTTATTGTATATAGTATCTATAAAAATGACATCCTTTACTTGTACAAGATACATATGCACTAAATATTAAGGATTGATTACCACAACTGATTAAAGTAACATCAGTATATTAAACTGAAAACAATCATAAAGAAATAGCTACTTATAATAGCAATCATATATTACATTATATGTAAAAATGAATTGATTAATCTCAGGTGGCAGTAATTTTAAGTAATGTTTGAAGAACTAGCTTTTATAAGACAAAAAACGAGCGTTGCATCTCCATAAAAACTTTAATGTTACCCGGTTGCTAAGAATCAAGTTAAGTCGTTAAGAATAGTCTATCTTCATTCTTTTGCGAAATATGAAACACTTACATGAAGTGACAAATAAAGACATACCAAAGTGATTATATGAAGCACTACCAAGTGATTTACGTACAGGGGCTTAACGTCTATTATTCCTGTTCTCTCCTGTGAAGGTTGTAGTATAGTTTCCAAATGTAATTGCCAATTAATCTGATTTAGCACTATGGTTTTTGTTCTTTAATTTAAATACTGGGAACTACATATAAAATATACAAAAAATTAGGAATTATAAATTGTGAACCTTGTGTAAACGTATCAGCCTAAAAGAACATACATTTTTGAAATATATTTAAATATATATTCTGGTAAAATTTTGTAACTGTGTTTGTGAACCATTAAGTATTCATAAATATAACTCTGAATCTGTCGAAGCTATATAGGCATTGGATTAAAAGATGAAAAAAAGTCTAAAAAAACCTGAGCAACAAGTATAAAAAAGGACTGATTTTTAGTTGTATCCAGACAAAAGATTAATCTATTTCATTTAGTGAATCTGACATTGTAACCAGCTCTAATACAAAGCCCCAATTTTTATGTATATTTTTATTATATTATATTACAATAATTATTGAGCGAACAACAACATAAATGTGTATTTCTTATTATTTTAAAGTACTTCAGATTAGAAATAAGTATTCAGCTATCTGATTATGAATTTTCCTAGTATATATTTTTTCATGCAAAAATGTTAAGTAAGAAGGAGGTAATAAAAATAAGTTTATGAGATTTTCATATTTGAATGTACTCCTTCACACACTTCCATATTCCTCACATATGTGGATATTTCAAACGAATGATCAAGATCTAACCACAGACAAGTGTACTTTGGGATATTTAAGACTGATGTTTCACAATAGTATCTTTTCATCTTCATTAATTATCAGGCACGTAAAATTCTATGCAATTAGTCTCTAGAAGCACGCAAAATTATTAGATACATTTCAAACACTTTTTTTAGTTCTTGAATCATGACTTTCTTTATGTAGATAGCATTCCAACATAATGCTCATTTCACAAACTATCTGGTACTCTCAGTTGTGTTTTCATTTCCTCGTGTAACAAAGAGACTTGTTCATTTTCCGAAGAACTCATATTGAGTTTAGACCTATGAAAGAAAAGCCAAGAAACGACAACATTAGGATTTGGGATTATTGCTAAAATACTCTTCTATTATAAACAACATTTCATAATAATACATGTCGAAATGCCATTTAAACTACAGGATCTTATGTTACACTCATGTGGTATACTAGGAATCTGTTATGATTAAAAAATCACTCTTAATATATTATATTGGTGTGCCAAGAAATGTGAGCTGTAAAACAAAGGTGCTTTTAAATGAGGCAGTTAAATAAGAATTTAGTACACTAGATATTTGCATCAGATAATGAGGTTACCTACCCCACAAACTGTCACATCCTCTTGAAAATTAAAGAGATCCTTTTGGTTACAAATTTTCTTCTTAACATATTATAATATGACCAGATCTACACTGTTAGGACTCAACAATCATCTAACAAAACACATTATCAGTCTATCTTGCACGAGGCGTCAGAATCAGGGGCACTGTAGCATATTTAACTTATACAGCAACTGTAAATTATGTTATTATATTAATTTTCTGGGGAAATACTCCCAGACCCACCTAAATTAAGCTGCCTTTGGTAGCACGAGAACTGCATATATATATATACAATTGAAGCATTATATAAACTTATATCTTCAGGGAAACTTAAAATGGATAGCCATCGTATGTAATGTGAGCTGCTTACAATACTGTTCTTTACTTGAGTATATGATTGGGAACTAGGTACATTATGTAATCCGAGCTATTGAAAAGATTGCTCATAACTCCTACTGTATGTTAAAGTTGAGTATCTCTATGTATCATACACTAGTAAATCCTAATATTAACAATTATTCTGCACATTTGCTTGTCTAAATAGGAGTTAGGTATCGTTAGTAATAATAATTTTGGTATCTTATTTTGGACTGAGTGCAGTAGGTAATTTCAAATGTTAAAATAGATATGTTAATGATAGCTAAGTGCACCAAGAACCATTAAATAAAGGAAGTACATTATCGATTTGTCTCAGGATTCTTTAAAATAAATTATTTATTTCTGCTATCTCTATGAAATTATGTTTAATAAGATAACTATATCTAACGGTAAATTAGAGTGTTTGAACGTTGTCTATGATGATCGAGGTGTACAGGAAATGAATTATGATAAATAATATTTGTATGTTATTCTCAAGGTGTGATTGGACTTAAATGTAAAAATACAAGCCTTATCATTTTTGGTTAATATTTGCAAAGAACAAAATGTGACATAATAAAAGCACCAAGATCCAAGTATCTGCAAAATGCTGTGTACAGTAAAATCTGAATCTCAGTGTAAAGAACAAAAAAAGTGAACAAACAAGCAAAACTTTTAATCACAATAGCGAACACCATGAACCAAGCAGGCTAGCTTCAATATTTTATATTGTTTATTTGTTTTCTGAATTTCGAGCAAAACTACTTGAGGGCTATCTGCGCTGGCTGATCCTAAATTAGAAGCGATCGACTACGGGGAAGGCAGCTTGTCAATACCACTCACTGTCAACTACTGAGCTACTCTAACTGAATAGTGAGATTGATTTTCGCATTATAAACGCGAACAAAGGGATTAGTGTTTACGATATTTAGACATCTGGCTTACGAGGAAGATACTAAATCCACGCAGAACACTTACATGGAAATTTAGAATGACAAACCGGAATATACTTGCATTAAGATATATTCTATACTAGTTATTAAATGGTAAATTATGATGATATTAACATCATCACACCAGTTGTCGCTTCGTTTATTACTTTCCTGTTACATTCAGTTTTGATATAGTCAGCATTTAGAGTTGTAAATGGTACTGAAATAATTTAAGTAGCAAATTGCAGTTAAGTAATAGTTCATTAAATTGTATTAAACATACCATTGTTCAAAATTTGCTTGCTTCAGAATTTTGAGGCAAAGTTACACAAAGGATAGCTGCGCATAATCATCCCTAATTTCGAACTGATAAATTAGAGGATAGGCAGCTAGTTAACAGCACCCATTATAAACTTTTGGGATTATCTTGTTTAATTATATCGAAATATACCTTTAGAAGAAACTGTACAGCTGCATACTGATCTGATTTTGAACGATAATTCAAATAATGTGACTATTCCCAAATCAGTTTTTCTGAAATTGACGAACTTTGCTACTAAGGTTTGTTTGTTTTCTAATTAAGCACAAAGCTACACAATGGACTATCTGTGCTCTGCCC